GGTTTAAGAACAATTCTTTATTTATGAATTTTTAGTATATGACATACATTACCAGGATTATTGTGCATGCCATGTTGGTTTGAAGTGATGGGCCTCTTTTGGGACAAGATTTTGCTATAACTATTTGTAACCTTTAGATGGCATAATTTTCTTGATGACCAATAAATGAGCACCAAGGTTCTGAAAACCGGACCGGACCGTCTGGTCGGACCGGTTTGATCGGTGACCGGCATCATTTCCGGTCCGGAATAAGTAAAAAAACGTTATTTGCATTTAAACCGGTTGGACCGCAGTTGAACCGCCAGAATAGTGCCGAATCGCGGTCCAATCGCGGTTGAATCCGCCGGATTCCGACACATCGAGGGGGGAGAATCACCGCCATTAGACTTGATGGCATCTCCAAAAAAACCTGCCATTTCAGTGGCCGTCGTCCAGCCATCGTCGCTCGGTCCACCTAAACTTCACGCGACCGTCAGAGTTATTTTGTTGATTCGCGGCGATTTCGGCGCGATGGAACTCCTTGGCACCATCATCAGAGTCGCTGGCACTTAAACATCAAAAGCCCCAAGATTCCAGCTTCGATTGGCCGGTCGACGTCGCTGCCGTCACCACTCACCAGAATCTTCGCATAATAGGGGTGTTTTAGATAGTTTCAAACCTTAAGGGAGTATATAGGGGTGGTTTTGATGAATTTTAAACCTTTAGGGACTAAAAGAATTTTATAAATTACGGTCCAACCGACCGATCCAACCGGTCAAACCGGAAACCGGACCCTTGAACGGGTCATTGTCCGATCCAGTTTTCAAACAGTGGTCAAGTGGTCAACTAGTCAATCTATCGTGCCAGCCACTTAACGCTACTTTATTTTTGACTCTTTGTTACTTTGTTACTCTTTCTTAAAAAAAAAAAAAAAAAAGAGAAGAGAAAGAAAAAAAGCTGTACTTGTTGTCCACATGTATAATGATTATAATTTTCTAAAAATATATATGTTTTTAGGCAGTATTTAATTTATAAATTAGAATTTTACTTTGTATACTAGAGGGGTGGAGAAATAGTCGAAAATCAGTCAGAAACCGAATCGAAAATTAGGTTTTTTTATAAACCAATTCGGTTGCAAAATTTTAAAAATCAGAAAATCAGTTCAGTTTTCGTTTGGGAATTCTCAAACTAGTTAACGGAATCGGTTTTTAAAACTGGTTTTACCATATGTATATAAGCAAAAAGGTTTGATTTTTTGCCTTTATGTTTTGTAATATCTCATCTCGTTACTCTTTACTCTTATTCTCTATTTCTCTTCTCTGCCTCCAGTATCCACACTCCAGACTAGACTCCATCTTCCACTTCGCCATCAACGCCACCCCAGTCCACACCATCCGGCCATCACCAAACTCAAACTCCAAACCTGGTGGACCATATTTTGCATTGATATTATTCGTAGACCATATTTGCATTGAATTTCTATTTTTGGAGATTGCTAACTATAAGTTTATTTATTGCAATGCAGATATAGATGTAGACCTAGAGATTTGAATTTTAAGAAAACTCTTTTTATTTGCAATGTTTTAAGTTTTTAATTATGCCAATTTTTTATTAATGAGTATGAGTAATGTGTAATTGAATACTTTATTTATTTCATTCTTGATTCAGCATTGCAAAAGGTAATTTAATTGTTTTTCACAAAAGAATACAACAATAATACCCAAATAAAAGAAAAAAAAAAGCATGAAATTATATAAAATAATAAATTTGAATTTAGGGATAAATGTAAAAATTGAAGAATTTTAGGGTGAATTTGAAAATTGGTTTGAAAACCCGTTAACAGTACCGAACCGAATAGTTGTTTACAATCGATTTATAGAATAAACGGTCGGTTTCGATTTGCATTTTGTCTAAATAATAACTAGTTGGTTTCCTTTGCCCTATCCGTTCGATTAACGGATTATCCCACCTATTGTATACTTTCCTTATAAAAAGAAAAAAGAAAAAAAAAATTTTCATTTTTCTTCTGTGTGGGATCATTTAAAATAAAAGTGTCACTCCATTGTTAAAGTATTAAAATAAAATGTTAGGAGGTGTTAGAGGGATGTTTATACAGTGATTTTTTTTTTTTTTTGAGAAAAAGTTTTTTCCACCCAAATAATGATTTAATAACATTTTCCACCAGCAAACTTTTAAATATCATTTACTACCCAAATTTATATATTTTGATTTTGGCATATTCGAACTCACACCACACCATTTATTCTCCCATCATACTTATCAAAACCCCCAATCATTGCAATTGAGCTATAGGGTTTCCACTACCCCTCCCAAGTCAAATTCTGATTAATTACAACCAACAAAATCTAATATTTCCATCACCAAAAACTCATCGCCTCCCTCTTCAAAAGTTTCAATAGTCGGCAAGTTGATCTTTGCCGTCTAAATATAAATTTGGTAATATGTAAAATAATATTTAAAAGTTTGTGTGAAAAAAGTTTCATAAATCATTATTTAGTGGGAAAAAGTCTTACTCTTTTTTTTTTAAATATTATAGAGGGTTAACGATAATATGGGAAGGTTTTAATATTTTTGAACAACTAGATGAGTTTTATTCTAAACAATTTCAGGAAAAATAAACCCACAAAAAGAAATTGAAAATTGAAAAAGAATTTTTATTATCTATAATTTAATAATAAGTGTTAAAAAATATTTCATATTTGCGAAATTTCACCTGATCATTTTATTTTGTGATTCTATGTTTCATGCTTGCCTTTTACTTATTATATGTGCTTGTATGATTTATATAATCTAGGTGGGATAAATTCTATTAATTTGTTGTCGGATTTAAAAATATAAATAAATATATAATAATTAGGGAAAAAAAAAAAAGTTGAGTGTCCCAACATTGTTGACATATATACCTGTGAATCAATTTGTCTAGGGGCATTCTTTCTTCCTTAGAGTTGATTAATTAATTAATCTATTTTAATGATGTACTTATTTCCAGATATGCCCTTCTATTTCTTTGATTTGTCCAGCGCATAGTTGTCACTACCCAACAGTCTTGACATTAGCATTAACAATTCCTGACATTTCTTAATGCCTAATAATTACCTCCTATTCTTAATTATTTTTTAATAAGGTCAACTTTAATTCTAATATTTGTAGTCGTGTCACTGTATTTGAAGTCCTACGCCATCGTATTAAGATAGAGGGAATATTATATTATGTGAAATATAAGTGACGTTCATTTACGTCAATTACAATTTTGTTTTAAAAATAAAAATAAAAGGTTTATTTTATTTTTAAATTAAAAAATGCGTACAAGATATTTTACTTTAAAAAAACAGTAAAAAAAAAGACTTTATAATCCAAGTTGCGTCCCAAAATACGCTAAAATCAAAAGCTTAGAGGGTTAAAGCGACAAATTTGAGAGGAAACGTCTTGTTCTAGGCATAGCAATATGCCAATAACTAGTTTCAAGGAATAGATTCCAAAGTTTTTGGAATTAAGTGGGGATGTGGAAAACATCCAAATATTTTAAATGCAACCAGCTGGAAAATTCTAGAATATTACCACCATCATTTTAGTCCAATTTAAATATTAATTTAAATAATTCTAAAGTAACTTATTGTTGAATAATTCCAACACTTTCCAGGTATCAAAGTTTTTTTTTTTTTGTTTGGATTAGAGATGTTGGGTGTTTATGCGTATTTCAATAATTTTTTGAGATATTAGTTATTGACCGGGTATGAACTTCAGTGACCAACAATAGTAATCGTAGGGACTCAACTCGAGAGAATCATGTTAGATCTCTTCTTATCTTTTATCTCAAGAAATCAAACTTGGAAGACATGTTAGATTTCCTCTTGCTCTTTTACCATTAAGGGGACTTGAACTTATGAGACATGTTAGATCTTCTTTATTCTTTTAATCAGACTACCAATGATGGTTGGTATCAAAAATTTACAATTTCTTCTTCTAAAAAAAAAAAAAAAATCAATATCCAATTGTGGTGGTAAATGACATGATTTTAGAAGTTCCATATTTTAGTTAATTTTTTTTTATTTCTGACATAAAAAAAGACAAATTTCACTAACTCTGAGGAACGGGTTAATAATTAATTTTTTGTATTTTCTATCATAGAAGAGATAAATCGTTTATAGAAAATGCATAAAATGAGTGTATATATACAAATTAATTACAAAACTCTTGTACATAATTGGCATAACTCTTTTATGTCACATTATCATTTGTTTAAACTTTTATTAATTATTATACAGATTCATCATTTATATGACAAATCATATTGTATAAAGAGTGTGCAACTAGTATTATTTAAACGTTATAAATATAAAGAGAAGGGAAATATATCCATAAATAGTATTAATCATGGAAGAGGCCAGTTTGAAGATGGCGTTGGACAGAGGAAATAATACCAAAATATGCACATAAATTGTAAGAGATAATCAACCTCTTCTTTCTGACAGTTGCTGTTAGATAATGAGAGTAGGGTCAAATTATACAAACCGTCCATTTATTTTGTTCTGGAAAGGTTAATTGAACATAAGTGGTCACGTGTTGTTGGAGAGCTGTCATTTCAATTTCTCTCCTTGAATTAAAGCTTGGTGGTGAATGATCAATGTGAAATTTATTATCATATAATATAAAATAGATGATAACACGTTTTATTTATTTATCCATTTGTATTTCAAGTTCTATAAGTAGATAATCCACTTTAGGGTGCACAGTGCACACCACGTACATTTTAAGATAAGTTGGATTATTCTCTTTGCCGTCCAATTTCTTGAGCGTTTATACCATAAAACATTTAGCTCATCTGGATAGGTTAGATTTCAATTAGAGCTTTTGTTATAACACGCATTTTTTTTTTTTTTTAAGTTTGAGCTGTTTGACTATTATTTATGAATAATTATATATATTAGAAACACAAAAAACTAAAATATACTTAATACCATAATGCGGAATTGAATACTTACCTCAAGCCATCGGATTGCCTATGCTGGTTTTAAGAGCTTGCATGGCTGCAGCATCTGGACTAGACTGAGAGTAAACTGAGGAAGTTAAAGAGAAAAGAGAAAGGAGGAAAAGGGAAAATGAAGAAAAAGAAAACCCCAGACTGGGTTTGTTCATTTTCTTGGGAAAACAAGGGAGAAAGTGAAGGAAAACAAAAAAGGGGCAAACTTTACAAGTAAAAAGAGCTTATGTAGGCATTGCAGGTGAGGTGTTTGTTGGATTGGTTGAATGAATTTTGATTGTTTGTTTGAAGTTTCAAAGTTATGTTATTTGTGTTGGCGTTGATGGTGTGTTTGTAAAGGGAAGATTTGAGGGGAAGCGGCGGAGATAGAGGAGAATAATGGTGTAAAGTGTAATAATATTGGAAAGATGGAGGGAGAGAGAGAGAGAGAGAGAAAGGTGGGGTTAAATTAATAGGCTAGAGGAAGAGAGTAAAGGGGTTAGGCGTGGAATATTATGTTTTGGAGAAATTGAAATTGAAATTCGGAGGTTGGCACATGGACGTGGGGTCCTTTTTTCTTTTACAAAATTATGTATGTATTATTTTATCAACATCAGGATTGGAGATGGTCAAGTATGGTTCATGGACTAGCACCACTCTCATTCATCTCTACAACTTCTATAATCAATAATCTCATTCATCCCCTCCCCATAACATTATCACAGCTAAGTGTTTTCTATACATTACAATAATGGAGATAAGGTATGCAAGTTCTGAATACCAAACATGTTTCTTTTTTACTGGGTTTCTTTATCAATTTAGAGGAAGTGACAATAACCATGCATATTAAATTTTGTTCAAATTTGGAAGTGCTAGTTGTCTTATTTTTGTCATTTTATACCTTTAATGCTAAACGTTAACTTCGGGTGCGTTTGTTTTAGTATTTTAGATAATATTTTTGAAAAAGTAAGAGTTTGGTGGTAATAACGAGGTAAGATTTAAAAATTAACAAAAACACCTCCTCGGTTTGTTAATTTCTAAACACCTCTGTAATAAAAATATTAAAAATTATAAAAACACCCCCACTCACCCATTAAATACTAGCAGTCAGCCACCACTATCGAAGGGTGGTCGGAGTCGCCGTATCGACGTACGATCGGCTGGATCTGGCCGATTGTGTGCTGAGATGGCCTTTTTCAACCACATCTACCGTGGATCTGACCGAAAAAAGCTAGAAATACAGCTAGATCTGGCCATTGATAGCCAGATCTAGCCGCGTTTCACGGCCAAACATATGGCTTTCATTGACGACTAGCTACAACCAAAGATCTGATCTTTTCTAACAAAATCCACGGTGGATCTGGCTGGAAAAGGCTATATCGATGCACTACCGCCCAAATCTAGCCGATAGTGCACCATTATACCAGATTTCGGCCACCTTCCAGTGGTGGTTGTCGGAATTTGGTAAATGTGGGTGGGTGGGGGTGTTTTTGTCAATTTCTAAACTTTTTGAGAGATGTTTAGTTAAATTAACAAACTTAGGAGGTTTAAAAATAATTAAATATAATATAATAGTATTTTCAAAGTACGGAAACAAATGTGTATTTTGGAAATGATAGGAATAGGATTGGGTAAAAATAGGGAAACAAAAGCACTTTGTATAGATTTGGGAAATTATTTATTGGTGGATTATTAATGATCTGGTTACCCTTTTTACCAACCCAATTGGATTGAAAATTAAATTAAATTTTTGAATAAGATTAATTTTCTATTTTAGGAGATTTTTTTTGTGGGTAATATATCTCAACAAATTTTATGAGATTAAAAGGAGATGTAACTTTCTGATATGAACTAATATGTATTGGATAAGAAGATATATAAATTTATAATAGAAGTATTATATTATTTAAAGAATTCGAATAATTTTTTTTGTATATATATAAAATTAATTGTCCCAAATTAAAACACACGTTAAGAGAAAATAAAATCAAATAAATTATTTGAATATTGAGGTAGATGGCATAATTTTCTTGATTGACCAATAAATTGAGCACCAAGGTTTGAAAACCGGACCGGAACGTCTGGTGGTACCGGTTTGATTCGGTGACCGTCCCATGTTCGTCCGATAGTAAAAAACGTTATTTGCATTAAACCGGATTGGACCGCAGCTTGAACCCGAGATAATAGTTGCGATCGCGGTCCAACGCGTTGAATCCCGCCGATCCGACATCGACGTCGAGGAGAAATAACGCCATTAGACTTGATGCATCTCCACTACAAAACCCTGCCATTTTCAGTGGCAGTCGTCCAGCCATCGTCGCTCGCCGTCCACCAACTTACTTCACGCTCCGTCAGAGTTTTTGTTGATTCCGGCGATTTCGCGCGATGGAACTCCTTGGCACATCATCAGAGTCGCTGGCACTTACACATCAAAAGCCCCAAGATTCCAGCTTCGATTGGCCGTACGATCGTCGCTGCCGTCACCACTCACCAGAATCTTCGCATAATAGGGTGTTTTAGATAGATTTCAAACCTTACAGGGGTTATAGGGGTTTTTTGATGAATTTAACCTTTAGGGACTAAAAGAATTTTTAATTACGGTCCAAACCGACCGATCCAACCGTCAAACGGAAAAACGCGACCCTTGAAGTCATTGTCCGATCCAGTTTTCAAAACATTGGTCAAGTGGGTCAACTAGTCAATCTAATTCGTGCCAGCCACTTAACGCTACTTTATTTTGACTCTTTGTTACTTTGTTACTCGTTATTCTTAAAAAAAAAAAAAGGAAGAAGAAAGAAAAAAAGCTGTACTTTGTTGTCCCATGTTATAATGATTATAATTTTCAAAATATAATTGTTTTTAGACAGTATTTCCATAATTTATAAATTAGAATTTTACTTTGTATACTAGGGTGGAGAAATAGTCTAAAATCAGTCAGAACCGAATCGAAAATTAGGTTTTTTTATACCAATTCGGTTGCAAAATTTTAAAATCAGAAAATCAGTTCAGTTTTCAGTTTGGGATTTTTCTCAAACTAGTTAACGGAATCGGTTTTTAAAACTGGTTTTACCTATGTATATAAGCAAAATGGTTTGATTTTTTAGCCTTTATGTTTTGTAATATCTCATCTCTTACCTTTACTTCTTATTCTCTATTTCTCTTCTCTGCCTCCAGTTCTCCACACTCCAGACTAGACTCCATCTTCCACTTCGCCATCAACGCCACCCAAGTCCCACACCCAGCAGCCATCACCAAACCAAACTCCAAACCTGGTGGACCATATTTTGCATTGATATTATTCGTAGACCATATTTTGCATTGAATTTCTATTTTTTGGAGTTGCTAACTATAAGTTTATTTATTGACATGAGATATAGATGTAGACCTAGAATTTGAATTTTAAGAAAACTCTTTTTATTTGCAAATGTTTTAAGTTTTTAATTATGCCAATTTTTTATTAATGGTATGAGTAATGTGTAATTGAATACTTATGTTTTTATTTCATTTCTGGATTCAGCATTTGCAAAGAGGTAATTTATATGTTTTTTTCACCAAAGAATACAACAATAATACCCAATAAAGAAAAAAAAAAGCATGAATTTATATATAATAATAAATATTTGAATTTAGGGACTTAAATGTAAAATTAAAGAATTTTAGGGTGAATTGAAAATGGTTTGAAAACCTTAACAGTTAACCGAACCGAATAGGTTATACAATCGATTTATAGAATAACGGTCGGTTTCGATTTGCATTTGTCTAAATCAATAACAGTTGTTTCCTTTGCCCTATCCAGTTCGATTAACGGATTATCCCACCTTATTGTATACTTTCCTTATAAAAAAAAGAAAAAAAAATTTTTCATTTTTCTTCTGTGGTGGATCATTAAAATAAAATGTTCAACTCCATTGTGTAAAGTATTAAATAAAATGTTAGGAGGTGTTAGAGGGATGTTTAATACGGTTTTTTTTTTTTTTTTTTTTTTAGAAAGTTTTTTTCCACCCAAATTGATTTAATAACACTTTTCCCACAAACTTTTAATATCATTACTACCCAAATTTATATATTTCTGATTTGGCATCATTACGACCTCACACACCCCCATTATTTCCCAACATCACTTATCAAAACCCCCAATCATTGCAATTGAGCATTAGGGTTTCACAATCACCCCTCCAAGTCAATTCTGATTAATTCAACCAACAAATCTAATTTCATCACCAAAAACTCATCGCCTCCCTCTTCAAAAGTTTCAAAGTCTCCCCAGTTTGATCTTTGCCGCTAAATATAAATTTGGTAATATGTAAATAATATTTAAAAGTTTGTGGTAAAAGTTTCATTAATCTTATTTAGTGGAAAAAGTCTTTACTCTTTTTTTTTTAATATATAGAGGGTTAACGATAATATGGAAGGTTTTATATTTTTTGAACAACTAGATGAGTTTTATTCTAAACAGTTTCAGGAAAAATAAACCCACAAAAGAAATTGAAAATTGAAAAAAGAATTTTTATTATCTATAATTTATAAAATAAGTGTATAAAAATATTTCATATTTGCGAATATTTCCACCTTGATCATTTTTATTTTGTGATTCATATGTTTCATGCTTGCCTTTTACTTTTATCATGTGCTTGTATGATTTATATATTAATCTAGGTGGATAAATTCTATTAATTTGTTGTCGGATTTAAATAAATATATAATATATAATAATTAAGGAAAAAAAAAAAAGTTGATTGTCCCAACATTGTTGACATATATCCCCCTGTGAATCAATTTGTCTAGGGACATTCTCTCTTCCTTAGAGTTGATATTAATTAATCTATTTTAATGATGTACTTTTTCCAGTATCTTCTATTTCTTCTGATTTGTCCAGCATAGTTGTCACCTACCCACCAGTACTTGACATTAGCATTAAACATTCCTGACATTTCTTAAATGCCTAATTAATTACCTCCTATTTCTTAATTATTTTTTATTAAGTTCAACTTTAATTCTAATATTTGTAGTCGTGTCACTGTATTGAAGTACCCTACGCCATCGTATTAAGATAGAGGCAATATTATATTATGGAAATATTAAGTGACGTTCATTTACGTCAATTACAATTTTGTTTTAAAAATAAAAATAAAAAGGTTTATTTTATATTTTTAAAATTAAAAAATGCGTACAAGATATTTTCAAAACATAAAACAGTAAAAAAAAAGACTTTATAATCCAAGTTGCGCCCCAAAATACGCTAAAATCAAAAGCTTGAGGGTTAAAGCGACAAATTTGAGAGGAAACGTCTTGTTCATAGCATAGCAATTGCCAATAACTAGTTCAAGGAATAGATTCCAAGTTTTTGGAATTAAGTGGAGGTGGAAACATCCAAATATTTCTAAATGCAACCAGCTGGAAAATTCTAGAATATTACACCATCATTTTAGTCCAATTTAATATTATTAATTTAAATAATTCTAAAGTAA